AAGGTCCATCACCTGATGATAACAAGTATTGGCTTGCAGAAACAAGTAAAAAGAGAGGGACTCGGAAAGATATCATACCTCACCATATCCACATGCAAAATGTAATGCTGTCCTCCCTTCTGAATCTTCCTCATCCTTGTCAGCACCAGATGCTAAGGCAGCTTTCAAACCCTAATTGACAGATTGAAAATTTTAAACACTTGTACATCTGCTAAGTTGAACCAAACACGTCAGGTATATACAAATCAAAGTTCAACATGGAGGTATATTTCCTGATATCAAATGCTAAGTTACCAGAAATCATGCAAGCAAACTAATAGAACTAATTAACATGAAGAGCTTGGGTGTGAAAACCATGAGTTTGAAAGCAGAAATAAGTTCAAATAGAAGACATTTTCAAATACCATAATCATGCCTCAATTGCAGAATTTCTTAATTGGCAATATCTTATTAACAGTTAAGAGCAGACAATGGTGTGCTCTACCTCCACGTCACCAACACTAGCAGTGTGATGAACAATTGATTCATCCTCATTTCCGGCATCTTCTGCTTCTTCTGGTGCTTCAGTAGAAGTAGCTGCATCCCCAACTGCAAGACCCATTGCTTCTCCCAACTTCTGCAAAACATCTTTATCATTCCAGTATCTGCAAAGCAGAATTTCCTTCTTTAGCACACCAAAAATTTGTACTCAATCAAGTCCAATTCCACTACTATGTCTCAAGAAAGAAAACGTTATAGCTCAAGCATTAGTTCCCAGCTCCCATAACAAATCTAGGATTACTAACCTCATCATGGCAGCTGGACCACCAGTTTCTATTTCTTCCAAAATAGGTTTCAAAGAAGGATCTTCTTTGATACGTGACATGCGTTCCTCAAGCTGATCTTTGTTCGAGGGATTGGCGAAACTCTCAAGCATGGTATTCATAGATGGATCCTGAGTAGAAAAATTAATAAGCTTGAAATTCAATCAACCAAACGACTTGCACAACACTGAGAATAAATAAAAAATAATCACGAAAGGAGAAAGACCACATTACCTGCATCAATGCACTACCAAGGCGCTCAGCCATGGTCATGAACTGAGGATTCTGCATAACCTGTTGCATGGTGGAATAGTACTGTTGACTATCAAACTGAGGGACACCTTCATCAACTGACACACCTTGAAAAGTTTTCTGAAGTTGGTCTGCCATCTGGTTGAATGAAGGATCCTTTGCTATCTGTTCAGCTAATTCCTTAATGCTAGGATCCTGGTGCATATGACATATAAGACACTTTGAGCAAGAACCAGACTGATTGAACTTTTTAAACGTTTTAAAGTTTTACTAGTACTTGAGTTTTGGATTGGTAGCAGTCACCCATTTCGCATCAAGGCATAATACCCCCAAATTACTATAGAGAATTCAATACGTTGTGAAATGGATGGCATAGTGCACATTGCTCCCTGACATTCAGTGTAAAAAGGCATATGTGCAGCGACAGAGGTCTCAGAGTTGGATAAATTATATACTTTTCAATTATTAATTTAATCGAAATTATTCTTCTCCCATGCTCAGTCATTCAAATGTTTTCAAACTCAAAACGCTATAAAAGCAATAACATACATTCAGCAAGCCAGTCATGGCTGAGAAATCAAAAGGATTGGGAGGAAATCCAGCCTCTGGAATTTGGAAAGGGGTAGCCCCTGGTTGTCCTGACAGTGAGTCTCCAGACGATGCCTCAGGCTTGGGAGTTTTGTTCTCTGTTGTTTCAGGTTTGGAACTTTTGTTCTCTGTTGAAACTGGCTTTTCGCCTGAAAAAGATATGATGAACGCGAGAGTGGCATACTCTTAGTCTCTTAAAATTAAATTCCAAAAGACATTGGCGGCTTTTGCATCCAGTTTCAATGAAAAAATCAATTAACAAAAGGATATAGAAAATAGTTATCAGACTAGCCAATTATCAAGCTTCACTACAATTATATAAAAAAGTAAATAAAACTAACCCAATTTACTTGGACTGCTTTATCATGGTCTAAAAAACCAACCCAAATTACATATTCCTGCAGATTATCTAAAACACAAACAAAACCCTCACTTCTCACTACATGGTTTAAGATACATGAACCCAAACAAACCGCTTCACCGTTCACATATACCCTCGGTGCTATAAATCCGAATAAAAAACGAATAAATAAAACTGGCTGCTAACCAAAGCATCCTTTGATCAAATTAAGAAATCCAAATAAAATTAAACACCAAAATCTGCAAAAATTTTCAGCAAAACAAAGAATACTTCTCTCTTTTAACCCCCTAAACCCACTCCTACTACCACTCTTACATCCTATCCCTATCCGTATGTATATATAAATATATACATAAATTATAGTTCTACATCAATCAAACTCCAGAGACTGATAGAAATTCAGACACGCTGGAATTGCTAATCAAATCAACACACACAAAAAAATATATATATATTAAAATAAACAATTAACAGTACGAGAAACAACACCAAGCATACCAGCAGCAGCAGGCACATCCTTCTGCGCGGAAGCCATAGAAGCACCTGAATCGACGATGAAGAAACAGAGCGATCAATCTCCAATCACCAAACAACGATTCAAACCCAAAACTGCGTAATTTATCAAGAAATTCACACAATCGATTCGAAAAGTGCGAAAATGATCGAACCTGATCTTCGGGTGGCGATGCGGTGGGGATTGAAGTGGGGAAGGAGAGTGAAGCAGGAGGTCCTTCGCAGCACGCAAAGAAGCGAATGCTTCAGAGACCTGACGAAGGGAGAGAGAGAGAAAGAAGCTTTGGCTCTGGTGGATTCAGAACCCTATAAGCTCTATTGACTTAGCAGCTCACCACCGATTTCTGTACTCTACACGACTCAGTGGGCCATCTCAATCCTCAACCCTTTCCCAATTCCCGAACGATTGGCTCTTTCTTTGCTATTATCACCAAATTACTCTTTTGCCTTTTGGGCTTTACATGCATTTGGCCGACTCAAGCCTGGTTTTGGCCGACTCAAGTCTGGTATGGTACTGAGTTGATTCTGAAAAAAAGTTGGTATAAAAAAAAACTGAAAGCCTTTTTTGTGTTTGGTCAACATTCAGCTTCATCTTTTTTTCACAGTTTTGGATGAAAAAAAAAAGCCAAAAACAAGAAGCTGCAAAACCCTGCTTTGAAAAACCGGTTTTTTTCACATCTGTTTTACATAAAAGTTTATCAAACACTATAATATTGTTTTTTTTTTCAAAAGAATTTTTACAAAAAAGTTTATCAAACACTCTACAGCTTTATTTCACAGCCGCTTATTCTCACATCACAGCAGAAGCAGCTTTTTTTTCAAAGCACAGCAATACCAAATCAGCCCTCAATTAGCCCAATTCTCTCTCTCTCTGTTGAGAGTCAGAACTCTTCTAAAAACTTTTTTAAAATGATTGAAAATACTTCTGTTGAAAACGTTTTTTTTTTAACAAATCTTAATAAAAATACAAATGAATCTTGAAATATCACTTAAATGCCTAAAGGCCTAATACTGGTGCTTATTGTAGGAAGCACTTACAGTATTTTTAGAACCAAAAAACATTTTCGCTAAAAATGCTTTCAGTAATTTTAAAAGTATTTCCAAACAAGCCCTAAGTCTTGAATTCAAATCTCGTACACGATAGTTTATGAATAGATGTTGCAGGCTTCGCATTGCAACATGTGAGAGGCTAGACAAATGATTGTATAATGTATTGCATGTTGACCAATATTTCACATTTCGATCTACATGGTGAAATGGTCTGAATTCAAATCTCAATTACAAACTTCATTGACGAAAAAAAAAATTTGTGTAGAAATTTGCACTATAAGATGTGAGAGGATGGGCGATTGATTGTGCATTGCATATCGACCAACATCTCACATTCTGCAATTGCAAGAGTTATGCAATCAAGGAAACGATAAAAAAATCGTAAAACCTACGTTGAAGTTTTCTTGTTCACTAGAAAAAGTATAAATCTTTCTTGCAAGCACGTTGCAAAAGTGACATACTTTGCAACGAAAGGGAAGAAAGGTATCTCTAGTAAGCGAATTCCTACCAAATTTTTCGTGTGGAAGTAAGGATTGTTTTATGCCATTAATGAAATTTTTTTGTATCACAAGAAGCAAGTTCTTGTCTTACTAAATTTGGTTACATCATAGAAATATTACTAAATTAGATGGAAAAAAATATAATGTCATGGACTTATCTAATTAGGCACAAAGTCAATACTTTACAGCTGCTAATTGGACTCATATGGCTAATTCAAACAGAAATTGTACAAAGTGAACTAATGGAGAAAAAAAGAAGAAGAAGGGCAACTTGTTATCAACACTAGGGATAAAATTACTTCATTGTCCTCAAACATTTGCAATGTGACCAAAATAGATAGAAAATTTCTAAAATTTAATAGCGGGGGCTTATCTAATTGTATTTATAGTAGAATATCACTTATAATAAAGGAAAAATACAATTTTGTATTTTATCCGTACATGTGTTAGTTAAAAACATTGATAAAATTACCCCTAAAAAGTACCCTGACCTGATTTAGGGTACATATCAAAAGTTAAAATTATGGGTGCAAATAAAGATTAAAAAAAAAAATAAAGGGTACAAATTGAAGTTAAAACATGGGCACAAAATGAAATTAAATACATGGGTGAAAATTTAAACGAAAAAGAAAATTGATACCAATTAAACAATGGTTGCAAAATAAAAAATTGGTACAAATTAAAAATAGAAATATATGATACAAAAATTTAGTTGTAAATATAAATATACAAAACGTAACATCTTGAAGATGGTTATAAAATTTAAATATGCTAACACGTATACTGAAATTACCATCTAGATAGAAATTAAAGGATCTTTATCAAAAATTGAAAAAAAAAAGAAAAATATTTCAATTAATAAAAAAAATATATATATATATAGAAACCTAATTTTTATAAAAGTGAAGGCAGGCCAGGATAGTACCCAAAGTCCGGCCCACATCATATTGTTTGGAGTCCAAGAACTTTGTCATGTCAGAGAGTCTGCCAGTTTGATATCCCAATTCCCAAGCCGGCAAAATCCTTTGAGCAGACAAGAAGAGAATTACGAACATCCCAAAGAAAACACAAGCTTTCCACTCTGATAATATTGCCAGCAATTTATTTCAATGAATCGGAGGATATTGAGTCTGAATCCGATCTTGGGTGAGTGAAGGATGTCCCAAGCTCAAGTCTCCTACAGGTGAATTTCCCAAATTCCGTTTCTTGTTCTGAATCTGAATCAACTGCCATTTAATTTCTTCACCCAGTTTCATTACTTTCACATTGGTTCATGTTAAATTGTCAATTTTCTCACTGAATGAACCATTTATTTATTCATTTTTGAGTGCTTGAAATCATCTGGGTTGACTGATGAAGATTGAATGTTTGACCTTCATCACTCCAATCTCATTGGGTCAATTGGGTTAAACCAAAAGAAAAAAATCTCATTGGGTCAATTGGGTTAGTAAAAATTGGATGATTGCTTAAATGTGCATGTTTTGCTAATCTTTAATTAGTGTTCTGGTTCCTGAAATTGAAATGTACAATGCTTGGTTGTTATGCTGAAATTGGTTGGTTTTATTTTTTGAATCTGTTACAGTTGTGGTTCTTGTGGATACCCTTTGAACTTGTCGTCTTCAAATCGATTGACTGCTGAGTCTGGCATAGGCTCCAACTATAGAAAGTCCATCAAGAAAGGTCTTATTTCATTCCTTACAGTTGATCTTAGTCGGTTCACACAGGTTGATGAGGTAAACTGTTTTCCAGTCTCTTGGGGTCGTTATCGTTCAAAGACTAAACTTCTCTGCCGCAAATGTGGGGTTCATATCGGTTATGGATATGGAGACTCTTCTGTTCTTTGTGGTTTTGACTCTCCCAACTCATCATCTACTTCATCTTATAGAAAGTTCAACATAAAAATACGAGCTCTACAACCTTCGGAACAGTGCTAACATGAAACCTACTTGTAGCTCTAGTAGTAATTCTCTTACCACCATCATGGACTTGGCTGATGATTGTCTCATCTTTATTTTCCAATGCCTTGTTTCTGGCTCTGACCGTGAATCCTTTGGCTTGACTTGTCATCGATGTCTTCGTGTTCAAAATCTTAGTCGTCGATCCTTACAGTTTCAATGTTCATTCAAACAACTTGACATTTCTTCATTATCACTTTCAGCATTTACACTTGTTGTCCCTATCTGGGTGCACAGAACTACCAGATTCAGGCTTGTCCCACTTGGTAATCTGGAGTGTTGTGTTGTTTAGGTATTACTGATCATGGGTTGTATATGGCAGCTACTGGTTGCCCCTCGTTGCAAGTTATCAGCCTTTACCGTTGCCAAATTACTGATTTTGGGTTAGGAAATTTGGATAAGTCTTGCTCAGTTTTAAAGGATGTGAATCTATTGTACTGCTATTTTATTTCTGACTGTGGGCTAAAAGCTCTTTCACAAGGTTGTCGTCAACTTCAAGCGGTTAAGATATCACATTGCAAGGGCATAACTGGTGTTGGCTTTAAAGGTTCCTCATCAACTTTAGCTTATGTAGGAGCCAAATCATGTAAGCTTGAGCCAGAATGTCTTTTGGGAATTGTTAGTGGGGGCGGGATTGAATGTATCTTGCAAAATTGTAGAAATGGCTTGGCAGCGATTGGGAGAGGATTTGCCTTCCGCCTTAAAATTCTTAACCTTCGGCTTTGTAGAACTTTTGGTGACATGTCGATTGTAGCAATTGCAGAAGGTTGTCCACTACTCCATTGTGTCATGAGGTCAAAATTGTGGGATGGTCTTCTATCGGGATGAGTTGTCACAAGTTGGAGAAGCTTCATGTCAACCGGTGTCGGAATCTATGTGATCAGGGTTTAGTGGCTTTGCGGAATGGTTGCAAACAACTCTCCGTTTTGTACATGAACGGTTGTCCTAAGATTACTTCAACAGCAATGGAGTTGTTCAATGTTATAGGAGTGAGGTTACCATTAAGAATGAAGAGAAGTGTATAGGTCCCATCTGGGAGTTGAGATGATAGTTGATGAAAAATAATTTGACTTATTTGATATGAAATTTTCTATTATTTTCTGAAGATTTAACTTGCTTCAGCATGTGTACTTTTAACTGGGGAAAGACTTGTGAATTTCTAATTGATAATTTGTGAAATTAATTTTACAATATGGTGTTTGGTGCACTGATAAGTATGTGATCGTTTTGATTTAATGAATTTCATTACTAGTAAAATCAATTATTGTGCTAGCTCGCCATCGCAACGTGTTGTCTTTTTGCACCTAATTTTGGATCTGCTTTCCATAAATTTAGATTAGAATTGTATAGAACATCGCTTCGTCAGACAAAAAAAAGGGGTACAATTGACAGAAAAATAAGTCATGTAAAATGTAAATATTCTTAATTCAAATAAATCTAAACTTATTATCAGCAAAAAAGTACATTGAACTTGAAAAAATTATTTTCTCAATAACATCTGTTTCAACTTCTGCCGATCATGCTGCTGCTCAAACTCCTGAAGTTTTTATTGCTGAATCTGTGTGCGGACTTTGGAGAAGGACTTTCATGACATAGGTGCACCACTACCAGGGCATCCCGTGGAATGATGCTATGTCTTGCGGACAAAAAACATGTGTGCATCAATCCAACTCAATCGTTTGAGATATTGTTTGAGAAAACAAGTCTTTTCAGACGTTCAATCTCATTTCTGCTATGATAATTCAAGGCTGTCATTAAACAAAAAAAATTAAAAATATATTTATTCTGACCATAGTACATGATGTCTTAGCTGTCAAACTAAATGCATTGTTCATCTCTCCCAGACCCTGCATAAAGCGGGAGCCTTGTGCACTGGGTACGACCTTATTAGTAAACGGTTTAGAGCCTTCACTCTTACAATCGAGGTTCTGTGTTGGATTCACCCCTCCCTCAATAATATCGCTTACATATATGTGTGTGTGTGTGTGTGTATAAATGCTCTTTATGTTGTGTGCATTTTAATCTAACAAAGTTCATAGAAGAAAACTAAAGAACATTTCTTACCGTCTTGCAATTCAATGTCTTCCAAAATATGGTGTAGACATTCTTTCAATCTATTGTTTTCTGCAGTTATGTAAAGGGTGTCTACCTGCTCATAAAGAAAAAAGATAACAGAAAATTTGTCACTGTACATAATTGCAACGGGGCTTATTGCTCGGGCAGATAAGAGCGTTTGCTCCTGCACCCGAAGTCTAGAGTTTGATTCCCAATCCGCTAATATTGCCTGTACAAAAAAAAATATTTGAGTGTGCTAAAATCATGTTGGATTTACCTGCCATTGTTCCAACTGAGCAGTCAGAGCAGCTAATTCAAACTGCAACCTTTGTATGTTGCATTCAAGCGTCTGAATGTACATCTTCTTCCTCTCCTTTGCCCTCATAGCCGACCTCCGGTTAGTCATAATCCTGGGAAATTTAAAAAAAAAAATTAGCGTAAGCATGTCACCGACGTTGGTTTATAAGTATTTTAGCTTAACGAGTATTAAAAATCATCGAAACTCAAACCTTTTCGCGAGCTTTGGATCGCGCTGAGCGACTTCTTCAAGAACTGCAGCAGGCCTTTTTTTGGTGCTAGGGATTGAGATGACAGTGTCATCCTTGGATGAAGTTGAGCTTGAACCATACATTGTGCTAATGCTACAACTTCTCAAGCAATGAGAAAAATATGACTCAACTAGTAAAGTTCTAGTCGCAACGATTACATAAATATACTGCCATGGGATTGTGGGTAGGTTAATATTATGGGATTTATTTCCATAAATAATAGGATGGTAAAAATGGCAGAGACGTTGAATAAAGGCTAGGAATTGGATTTCTGTGTGTTTACTAGGTGGATTTCCAAGAATGTGCTTACCAAACAAGGAATTATGTTCATATTTGTTTCCGAGTTTTTAATCTGCGAATTAAACGGGCCCGAAACGGAAGAAATTAGGTCAATGTGCCATACAGATGTCCTAGGTTTGATTCATTCCCCCAACATCGCTTGTATAGAAACATAAAAACTGATGAATATCATTTCCTCGTGCACCCGATGTCAATGTCATACGTTTGATTCATTCCCCCAATATCTGGCTTGCTGAATTATTATTATTTTTTAAATGTGGGGGACACCATAATTTTCGTACAAAATGATGTGGCCTGATGATTTGTTAATTTCCTAACATATTAGGATTACCGCATGATATGACAAATGATTTGGATATGTCATGTTGATCAATGACTTGGTCTCATCAAATATTAGTTGTATACATTATCCTTGTTTATGTCTCTTGGATTTGGCCGTGTATAACTCTCTTATCATATCATATAATATCACAATATTGTGTAAAAATTGTAGTCTGCCGAAGTCGGTTGTTATTAATCACTGCAACGAAAAGAAAATAACGAGAATCCGGCAAGTATATGACAAGTTGGTGTACCCATTGTCAAGAAAGATTCGTCGGAAAGAAGTGAAATCTTGCCAATGAACGTCCAAATTTTTCCCTAAGGTCTTTCCGGACGGAGTTTTCGCGAATTTATCATCGAAATTTTTTTCTTGGAAAAACCCTTTTCTGAAAAAATGTAAGGATTTTTCAGTACATAAAACCTCTCAACCTTTTAGTGTTATTCCAAATTGATCTCAATCTTTTTAAACATTCCAAACAAGTACCCAACCTATTAAAAATGTCACATCCGTTAAGCCCCAGTTAATTTTTCAAACATAGATATTGCGTTCAAATCCACCAATTGGGCATATCATGGTCAACATTAATATTAGTTGCCTCAAAACTTGAATTTCAAACATAGATTATGTAATATGGAACCCAATAAACAACGAGTATTGAATTGAATCGAAAATTGACCCAAATTGAAATTATATTAGGAGTGCAATTTCCTGATAAAGGAGAGGGTTAAGATTTCTGATAAGGTTTCAAGGAGTTTTTTTCCAATCATGTGATTTCCTCGTATGTCAATTCTCATCTCAAAGCTTCCAGTTTTCTTTGTGGGTGGTCAAGATGGTGGTGGCTGCATCATGACAGTCCATACAATTTCAACAACCTTAATGACCTTCTTCTCGATGTTGGCGGCTAGAGTTGTAGGGTGGAGTTAGTGGGTTTGTGTTTTGTTTGGAGGTGATGACATGATGAGGCTGGTGGTGACCATTCGTTGGTGGATGATATGCTTTCATGACATTTTATTGATTTTGGAGACAAAATATGCCCGAGTTAATTTAACAGATTTTTAACTAGGCCTTAATGGATGTGACATTTCCAATAGATTAAGTACTTGTTTGGAATGTTTAAAAAAAATTGAGATCAATTTGGAATTACACTAAAAAATTGAGTAGGTTTAGATACTTAATCCTTATTATTTACTCTTTTTGTGTAGTAACACGGTGTTCAAGAATTTTGATCGAATATGTAAAACCAGATTAAATTGTCCTCAATTTGTTAAGGGATTCAACACTTTTTCTCTTCCGGTAAAGGAAGGTGGTTTTCACAGTTTTTGTTCATTTCTAACCATCAGATGAAAAAAAATAAAACAAAAACGACATACAAGATTAAACATGAGTGTGTGAGAAACAAATTACTGTGCAAAAATTTCTGAAGGGCATATGTCATATACATAAATGGTATATCTGTATCACTTCAAATTAAAGAGATGATTAAAAGAACAACTTTCAAATTAGAATGTCTAATTAGTAATAAACAAAGAGAAAGTGCCCCCCCCCCCCCCCCCCACATACACACTTTATTTTCTAAGCCACAATCTTAATTCAAAAATAAAAGCAGTAACAAATAAGATAGCAATAACAACTCCATAGCCAGCACTCCATCCCTTTCCTTTCTCTCCCAAATGGATTCCATAGAAAACATTTGCTACTGCAAAAATGATCAGAATCCTTCCCACACCATGATGGTACCAGTTCCAGTACTTTCGCACCTTCGATTCCTTCTCCGGTCGAATCAAAAGAGCCATGACCTAAAACCGAAACAAACCAAATCAAAAGAAAGCAATGTTTATACAACATCCATATCATTGACATACAAAAAGTTTATACCGCATCATTATGCTAACAAGAGGGTTTAACCACCATTAAAAAAAAAAAAACATCGATATCTTTAGCAACTCTAAAGTGAGACTCGACAAATCACATCAGCATGATAACGTGGTATGACCGGAATATATGTAACAAAAGAATGAGAACAAACCTGAAGACAACCAAGCACAAGAATGAAGATACCAAGAGATTTGTGGGTGGAGACATCAGCATTGAGCTTATTTTTTAAGACAAATCCACAAAAAACACCTATTATTCCGAATATAAGCCCAAATGACTGAATGCAAGTATGAAGATAAAACCAAAGTGGATCATATGGTTTCAAGTAACGAGCAACTATTACTCCAATTATCATTAAAATGCCCCATCCTAGCATGTTTAGTACTCCATGGCTCTTCCTCAGTCTTGAATGTGGACTCTCCGTGCTCGATTTACTTTGACCTGTTTCAAATTGCACAAAAAAAAAGAAAAGAAAAAAAAAGCGTTATCTTGTTAGACTGTGAATTTAAACTACACATTCAAACAAAAATTAACATGATCCATAATCCAAAATTCATAGTCCGACAACATAAACATCTTACTTTGCCAGACAACGGGAGAGTTTGTAAATATTTCCCTTGCATACTAAGATTTGTATGAATTATAAGACAAAGATAGGTAATAGATCAATTCATACGAGATTATTCAATTGGTACATGTTTTATAGGTTCCAAATAAAACAAGAAGCAGATGGGTAGTTGTTTTCAATGTTCAACACATCAAATTGAAAGCTTAGGTGAGGGTCAACATCACAATTTCCACAATTCCTCAGGTCTTTTACACCAATAAAGAAAGAAAATGACCTCTTAGAGCAAGCTCATTGAAAGTCTTCAGGTCTCTAACACTCTTATTAACAGTTTTACGTTTGATTTCTCATTCTCTAATATTGCTCGTAAAAACTAAAAAAAAATTAATAAGTCAACCTTAGTTTGGTTTGAGTTGTACTCACCTGTGATATAATTTATGGAGGTGGAGACCTTGTCACTATGCTCACTCAATCTGTAGTTGGGAGCCACAGGCAGCAACCCATCTGGTCCAACAGAGTATATGAGCCTTGATAGTGGCTGATTGGTCTCCAATTGGAACCCTAGGTACAATCTGTTGGACTGGGATGTAATTAAGGAAAAGTTGGTTCCAACTTGAAGGCTCCCCTTGTTGGGCTCCACAAGGTTAGGTGAGGTCCCCCCCAAGTAATAAGGTTTGATCTCTCCTCCTGTTGGGGACATCCACCCCACAATTGCACTGGAACCCACCATCTGGCCGTTGCTTGAGAACCCAATTGCAATGTATGAATTAGCAGCTGGTGCTGAGAGGACAAAGGTCCATAGGTTTGATGAAGTTTGTGAGTACTGCAAAAATGTAGTTTTTCTTATAAACCAGCTTTACCATGAATATCATTGGTTGTGATTGAGATGACTATATATGCATATGTATAGTGTTTTTTCTCTGGATAGGATGTTCGTTTTTTTTTCTTTCTAAAAAAGGAACCTCTTGCAAAGAGAATCCCTCATATATATGTATATGAAAATGAAAGTGATGGAAAAGAAGTGATTGACTTACTCTGAGGATGTAGTTATGAGCATCCCAAACAGCAAGGCAATTGAGAGAAGCTGCATCAAATGGCAAATTGACATTCTGCAAGTTTAGACTCGAGCTGCATGAATCTGTTTGTGAATTCACTCTGGCTGATAAGCCAAAGATGACGATGATGATGGAAGCTATGAATGCCTTCATCTCTCTCTCTCTCTCTCTCTCTCTCTCTCTCTCTCTCTGGGAGAAAGCAGGGAAAGTAGTGGGGCGATCAAATGAATATTTGAACAGATGTGTATATACGTGGAACAAGTTGACAAATGATTGAATATTGTAACTTGTATGGGGAGTTGATAAAAATAATTGAAGCCGTTGTAATTATTTATAATTATTCATTAGGTAAGCTGCTTGACCTAGCCTCCTTGTTCTGATATATAAAAGGAAACTACTACTTTCCAAGCATGCACTTCAGATTTGTGACATATGGAACAATATGGGCTGCTTCAAAGCTTATACCAAGTAATATTGCGCCCATGTTTCACATTCTTCGTTTGGACCCTTACATTTGTTCCTACTCCTTAATTAGAATATTGCAGGGGAGAGAATGAGAGTGTCGAAATCATTTCCCCTCGCCATTGGGAAACCATACGTAAGCGCTAAAAGCATCATTAGTGCTAAGAGAACTTTCAAATAATCAACATTTATAGGAATCAATTTTTCTTTTCTTAATACAACCATAAAATTACAGCAAAGGGTGAGAGATATGGACTAAGCCACACAATGAGTTTGCCATAATAAATTGGTATCGAATTCGTCATTCATGTGATTCAAACATTAAATGCATATGGGTAGAAGTGCACTCCCGAACCAGCCACTAGGATCAAACCAGAAAAAAATGGATTTCATGTGACTTTAAATCTTCCAAAGGTCTGGTCAACCGAGGTTTTGGTAGATGGGGCAGACCTGGACCTACGGGTTAGGGTTTGAACCAAGACAGTACAGCCAATCTGAAAACCTTTCCTTGATCTGATCTGGCATAATCTTTTTCTAATAGAAAGAACTCACTTTGTGAAGACCAAGTCTCTTGTTTTGCTCTTTTTTGTTCCTCTTTGCAATCATGTTATCATTCCACGGTGGGGCTACGGCCTGCAGCAGTGAAGTACAAAGCAAGAATATATGGGCGGCTCAACCACCTCCACTTCTCAACCTCAGAGAGAGAGAGAGAGAGAGAGAGAGTTTTATAAGTTGCATGCCAAGAATTTACCATTTTATTTTGGGTTCTGAATTTACACTGCATTCTAGCATACAGAGAAGCTTTGAAGCAATACAATTACGTAAGAGCAATGCTATGCAAAACATTCCCTACTTTTGGGGACTGAATTTACACCACACTGCTACAGATGGACCGAGTTTCGTAGCTTTGCTAAAAAATAAACTTAAATGAATTGATCGTTTTACAACATGTTGACCTCTGCCAAGATCTTGGAACATCAGCATCAGGCACTTGAAATCTCAGTTTCACCACCGCCGAGCCCTGCACATAGAGAAAAAGTAAATTATCTACAACCCTATAACAATATTTGATAGCATGTTATGCTAGAATAAGTGTTGGATGGCAAATTTATTCTCGAATGGTTGAATGATAATTCAAGGTTCAAAATTATGACATGGAGACAAACATGAGAACAACTTTGTAAGTTTAGGCTTTCGTTATATTGTATTTTAAGAATTTTTTTGTGAAGGCCTTAAAGGACAGGCAACTGATAGATGCATGACCGTATGAAAGATAAGAAAACCCTAAACCCAGCAAGCACAAACATTTGAACCCCCAACGGGTGGTCCTTTTGGATCCAGATTACCAGCTTCGTTGCAAGTAAGAAAGCCATCTATACCACACGTTATCCGCAAATAATGAACATTGCAAAGTAAATTTAAATATGGAATTTGAAAGAAAAATGACGGGCCAACGTCATACACTTAAAATCTACTTTCAGATAATTTTGCGTTAAAGAATAGTTACCCCATGATGTATATGCTGGTATGCTGACATAATTGGGACATGAGCTACTTGAAGCTAACTTGTCATTTAGATTGCCAGATCCAACCAGACAATCCCGAGGCTGCAGTAGCATCAAATATTCAGAATACACAAGAAAATTTCTGCACATAATAAAAGACCATATACAAAGTAGACAATGGAATTCCTCTTTAATGCCCATCTCCAAATAATCTCATTGTCCAATGTTACTACTTTTCAAGTTTATTAGGAAACGACCCAATTCAATTATTGAAACTCCAGTCACATGCCTGAAGTAAAATATGCCGGAAAGATGTATAACCCTTACCCACCAAAACAACAGAAATTAACTCCTTGACGTACAAGTGTATATTTTCATTGATTCAGTTAAATATACAATCTAAATAAGCTGTAGATAGAAGGCAAACCTTGAAATCCTTGTAGAAGCATAAATGAAGTTCCTCCACAGCACCTTTTTTGCAAACCAACTTGGGGGTTGCCCGGAAAACATTCTGAATAGCAGAAACAATGCCTCCAAGTGGATACTTTTCGGTATTGGAAGGTACGTATCCTGCTTCATTCAGGATTTGCTGAGGACAGGGAAAGGAAACTACCATTACACACCAAATACATAAAATGGACATACTCCAACTTAAACCAATTTTCTAATAAGAACCTCAAAATAATGGATATGAATGACAAAAAAAAAATGATGGATTGCCAGGTGTCAAGGAAATAAGCCAGCAATAGCATCAATGTTATAAATTACAGACTAGAACTTACAGTGACATTGTACTTAAAATAGACATTGAGGGTTGTCAAAAAGTAATTGTATTCATCTCCAACTACTGGAGAGGAGCAAGTCCCGTGCTTCTCTGCAAGAAACAATGAAAAAGGATGCAGGAATCAGAACTTGCACAAGTGATGCATGCCAAGAAAAAAAGGGTCATTGCTCGTAGGTCTGAATTCAACCTAATTTGGCAAAAATTTTAAAAGCAAAGGCTACAGACAAACAACTGACTGTTCATTGTAAGCAACAAAGAGCAAAAGGCGAAGATGCTTACCCCACTGCCATTATAATACCAGGAATTCAGTCATCATGGAAACAAAAGAATGAAGAATAGTTAGCTCATAGTAAAGGTCATCTAGAATTTGAGAAGAAATTAAGTCCACAATCAATGATCACCTCATGACCCCAAAATGATCCTTTTCCACCACGGCAGGATGATGGTTTACCACAGCTTAAAGACGGCCAGTATTTCTCTAAAGCATCGTGCAATGTTGAGATCTACACAGTAGATAAACAGATAGTGATGAGATTTAGGCACTGCCACTACAAGAGACATTTAAAATGAAAATATAAAACATTGCTGTTTAAGCACCAAAGTTGAAGATAAAGCGACATTAGTGTGGGTGCTATATTCCAGTCAATCAGTATTCAATATACATTTTCTCATATGCTAAAAGAAAATCTTTCTTTTGGGAGTTCCTGATTCCCTTTATGTGAGCAAGTAGAGTCACTAAAATACTCACAACCCCAAAACCATGTAGACACGAAATAAGAAATACACACCTCTTTCTCATCAAAGGTTTTCTGTGTGCAACAGGCAGGCCAGGTTCCATCATTGTAGTCAGGCCACAATCCATCTGTCGGTCACATACTAAGCGCAAGTTAGTATATCTCCCACATGTATAAACAAGATCTATGCATACACTATCATATACCGATTCACCATCAAACAACAGTCAACGGATAAAATACGGGTTGGACGACTTTGATCACTAGTGAAAGATAAAAGCCCATTTCCTGGATTCACTACAAGAATACATTAACTTAACATTTTCAGATTGTGCCTTTCAAAAACTAACCAAGAATCTTTTTTTTTTTTACTGAAAAAAAAAAAAAAAAAAAAAAAAAAAAAAGCAGCTGCCGACTAATACATATTTGTGCTTGCTGAATTCTCAATTAAAGCAATTAGCTTCCAACAATATGAACCAACATGCCTTAACCAAAATATTTGAACTTCAAGTGAAAAATCAACTTAATTCATGCTTTACATCTCTGCAATACACAATATAATACAAAATCTTAATACTTACGGATTGTAAACACAGTTGGACCATTTGAGCTGAAACAAGAAAACCCAAAGGTAGAAAACATCACCTCAAAAAATCAACTCAGAAACCACCAAACAGAAGCTCAACCTAATTTACCAAATTAAAATCAAGCAAAACTGGAAGAAAAAAAAAATCAATCTTTTTAAAATTAATAGTTAAAGAAGGAAGAGATATGAACCCGCGGCAGCAAGCATTGGAGGAGCAACAATAGCGGGTGCGCTGACAGAAAGTGCCAGGCCATTGCAGGGCCAAATTGAAGTAATCGAATTCCCTCTGCCCTCCTCCTCCTCTGCTTCCGATTTCGACTCCGATTCCGACTTGCTTGGCTTCGATCAGGCACAGCGAAGCCGCCGCAAACAGTGCTACTGCAGAGGCGAATTGAGCAGAGAGGATAGCCATTTGGAGAGCTTGGTTTGATTCTTGAGGAGTCTGGTGTGGTTTTTAGGGGCGGGGCAAGGGTAGATTCGTCATTTAGGTTACTTGGGCGAACGGGAAAGAATGGGCTCCAATTATTGTGTAACGAACGTTAACCTGAAGTCGTTGTTTTGTTTTACATTTCTTTTTGCAGTTTGTTGTGGAGATATTTTTTGTGACGGAATAAACGAAGATATTCTTGTTTTTCAAGTTTCATATGACGATATTTATGAACATATAACATAGAATTTTGGAGTTTGTAGTCCGAGATTGAAAATGTAGGGTTAGGGTTCGGGTTCGGGTTAGAGAAATGAGACTGACTCTATAACATGAACTTGAATCATTAATTGACGATTCGAAATTTCATATTTATGTTCAGGTGCGGCTCCAAGTAATGTGCTTGTTAATGAATTAGTCTCATATCCTCATTACATGGGGCAATTATGCTTGCAAAATGTCATATTAGTGAAAGAATATTTTTGTAGTAACACCACCCCATATGCCAACCATGTGGTATTAATTTACATTTCCCATTTACTTGCTTCCTTCTTCCTTCTTTCTTTCTTCTCCAGTTAAACACCAACTCTTTGATGCATGAGGCATCTTTTTCCTCCTTTCTTCTCCAGTTAGCTTTTCGTCCCAAATCCTCTAGTATGTGACGGTTCTTGCACTCCGGTACACCGTTGTATTGTAAAGTAAACAGAGTTGGCTCCTCATGTATATTGCCCTGATTTTGTAAGTAATAAGATAGTTCTTCATTCACAAAATTTTCACTGTTGTCAGAATGAAGAACCTGAATTTTGAAAACCAGGATCATACAAGTACAATCATCAACAAAGGAGACAAACCATCGAGCTGTGCCAGAGGTAGGGAATTTTAGTTGGTCCCCAAGCATTTGAGTGAACAAGCATAAATTCCCATTACACCTTTATATTGTGGAGTAAACGAGTTGGTTTCTCATATATGTTGCCCTGACTTTGTAAGTACTAAGAGAGTTCATAACTCACAAAATTCTTGTTTTCAAAATGAAGAACCTAAATATTAGAAACTCGGATCATACAAGTACAATCATTAATAAAGGAGACAAACCATCGAGCTCTGCCAGAGGTAGGAGTTTTAGTTGGTCCCCAAACATTTGAGTGGACAAGCATAAAGTCACACTTAAAATCAGATTAAACAAAATTAAGAAAATAAGGAAGGAATAGCCTTCTTAACGTACCCAAAGGTTGTATGCCCTAAACTTGAAGGCTTGAATAATCAAGTGCCAAATTCAAGTAGTAGAGTCTACCATAACCAACCAATACAGATGTCTCGAAAAAAAATAATAGTAAATTGGCCAAAAGATCATGAACAAAGCAAACCATTGAAATTTATCCTATAGTCAACATGTAATCTAGTTAAGGGTAATGAATTAGTAGAATAGATTGATAACACACACCAGCCTACAAATCATAAAGGAAACTAGTTACAGGTAAATCAATAAAGAAATTAAATGATGCAAAATCATATGAATTGTAACGAAACCAAATCCCATAGACCACTTGAGAAGGACGAGTACCTTGCCAATCTCTCCCAGCAGCAATCGGACACGCGCAATGGAGGAGCTGACACCTAATTCAGAGGTCTACAATTGCTGATGAACGAGGTTAGGCGACAGAAAGGCAAAGAGATACGCAGGCTAGGAGCAGGTCAGGTCCGCAACCTTGGGGGATCTTCTACATCTACCCCTCAGACTCCAAGCACGACGTCTTCCAGACTACAATAGGTGGAGATAGAGTTAGTAGCCTTGCACCAACAAGAAGAAGTAGCTCAGGAAGAAGCGTGCCAAAGAGAAGAAGTTGTGTGCTTGGGAGAAGAAGCTCAGGAAAAAGTGATGCACAAGAGAGAGGATGTAACTACCTGTCCCTAATTTTACCATTTATTAATTTTAAAAGTGTGAGTTTACGAAAATACCCTTTGAGGCTAAATTGTAGACTTTCGTTGACCCTCATATCATGAGTACTCGTTGTGACAAACGCGTAAGCGCGAACGAAATTAAATTCAGAGTTAGGACGACATTTTCACGAAATTCGGGAAGATATTTATATTTTCCTCCTTAGTGGACCTTATTATATGAGCCACTAAGGCCCAATTGTGTCCCTTTGTCCCCGACTTCTTCTTTTTCCCTCGTGACCCTCTCTTCTTCCCTCACTCATCTCTCTCTCTCTCTCTCATAACTCTCCATTCTCTCATTCTCATCTCTCTTTCACTTCGAGCAATACACACATGCACATCTAACAACAACTAGGACAACAACAGCCTCCTCATGACATCTGGAAGCTCCAAGAACCAGGAACAATGGAGAAAACCCCTCAAATATCTCTCATCCGCGCTGCACCATAGCAGCCGCTATGCTTATGTTTCTATAGCGAAGGTAAACCCCCTAGAACCCCTTAGATCGTGTTTTAATATTGGATTACAGTAGTTTTAAGTGTTGATCAAGTGTGGATACAGATTTCTCCCAAGGGAGGGCACTATTCATTTTTTTGGAATTTGAAACCGTGGCCGTTGGGCCACTATCAGACCTCTTTTCTGACCATCTCCGTCCTCCGTTGAGCCTCAATTTTGGTACAGACCTGTTATGTACATTCTTAACTTCACTTTGGCTTTGAAATCATTGAATTTAGTTAAAAATCAAGCTCGAAATGAGCTTTGAAAGTCAGGGGAAAAACCTGCAAAACTGCAGAAACTCACGATGAAGGTGAGTACTAGCGTACTCGCGGTCGCGTGGGCGAGTGTGGGGTTTCCTCTGCACCAAGCGTGTGGCTACCCGCACAACCACCTTGTGGTGACGCGTGTAGGAATCCGAGGTCCCTCATTAGGTTCTTCAACGTGTCGAACCTAAATCCACCCTCCGTTTTCCAAAGTTTGATCGCTTTAGTATAGCTTTTTTATTAAACATACTTTGTACAATAAGCGAATTTAGGATAGTACGTTATGTATTTACGTAAATGGTTTCGGTTCTAGGTGAAACACATATCAAAGACTTCTGAAGCCTGTATGGCGAATTATGACTTGACTACATAACTATGAGTGGACCCTTCTCAAATTGCATGATTTTATTAAAATACTAGGATTGCATTCATGAAAAGCATGATTTCCTGACTTTACATTTCATGAAATATATTTATGATTTATCGAATTTACGTTTTATGAAACGTTATGAATTATTGGAATTACGCTTTATGAAATATTATGGATTCATGAATATGGTTTATGATGATGATTTGAGCTAGAACGCTCATACGGTTTATGATAGGGGTGTGCTATCCACACACCCCATTTTACTTTTCACACACCCCTTGATAATTTCTGTTCATTGATCTTCGTCAATTCATTCGATCAGACGGCTGAAAATTAAAAAGGTGTGTGAGAAGTAAAATGGGGTGTGTAGATATCACACCCCTTTATGATATTATGTTTTGAGCTTTTGACTTGCGATGATTGATGCTAAAGATTTGGTTTATGATGTTTCAGTGTGCTATATATGGATATTTTCTTCTCTATCGTAACCCAGAGTCTTATAGTTTCACATTCTGGTGATGGGGCCTGTTATGTATATTTCTTCACTAGCGTAACTCAATGTCGTACAACTTCACCCTCGGGTGATGGGGTCTACTATGGATATACCAACGACCATAGATCTCATCAATTGATACAAATCCAATGGCCATAGATCTAATATGGATTTAGATCATCTCCAGATCAATTTGTGGAGATCCTCTGTGCCGATAGATATCATCAAATGATACAAATCCAACGGCCAAAATCTCTTGTCCTTCATCTTTTCCTCTCAACTCTGCTCTTTCTCCCTAACTTCGAAGCTCTCAACCTCGAACCACCAACTTCTCAAATTCCAAATTAAATTCAACACCATTTTAAAATCAGCCCCAACACTGCTACAACCCACCCAACCTACAACCATCAATTGCAAGTCCCTCACCTTATTCTCTCCAAAATTAGCCCCACCACCACCACCTCTCTCACTTGCAAGTCCTTTGACCTTAAAATCTCAGCCGATGTTAATGAAACAACAAAGAGAGGGGTCGTGCAAACCAATGTCTTTTGGTTGCAGAGATCTTTTTCATAACTATGGAAGAATTAGAGTGAGAGAAATCTCAAAGATGATGAAGAAGAAAGAGATGACAAATAAAAATACTAAAATAGTAAGGAATAGTGAAAAAATAAATCAGACTTAGAGCACAGATGACCTGCAATTGAATTTGGGGTTTGTTAACAACGGTGGGGTGTGGGGGTGCAAGGGAGAAATAAGAGTTGAGGAGAAGAGAGGTGAGGGAAAAGGATTCGGCTGTTGGATTTTTGTTCCTACAGAACTAATCTTGAGAGGATATGAATCCAATAAATAGTTAGAATATGTATATCTATCACTCTCTCTCGCCCTACGTTAACATGAAAGAGTCTACTTAAGTAAAAAAAAAAAAAAAAAAAAAAAACAAGAAAACGAACACTACGTTGCAGTGTTGCAATGTCCTAAACCAATTGCAAAAAAAAAAAAAAAAAAAAAAAACCAGAAAACAGACACTGCATTACAGTATCTGAATCCAAATGTAAAAACAGAGCTAGGAAACAGACATTGTATTACAATGTTTGAATCTAAATGTAAAATCAGGAGTCGTGTGAGGTGTGAAGAGTAGGAGACATGTGAGTGATGGAAAAAATAGAACCAGGAAACGTACAATGCAACGCAGCTTCTGAATCAAAAAGTGAAAAACATAACTAGGAAACGGACATTGCATTGCAGTGTTTCAATCCAAATGTACAAAGGAACATGTATGAGGCGTGTGAGTGATGGAAAAACGAAACCAATAAATGGACACTGCAACTCAGTGTCTGAATCTAAATGTAAAAAATGGAATCAGGAAACAGACACTGTAATGTACACTGCAACGCAACGTCTAAATCCAAAAGTGAAAAACTTAACCAGGAAACGGACACTGCATTGCAGTGTCTGAATCCAAATGTACAAAGGAACAT